AAGGGTTAACCAAATAAGAAATAAGGACCAACTTACAATCTAGTAGGTGAAATAGCTGCACCACAGGAGTGATGACAGATTAACCAAATAAGAAATAAGGACCAACTTACAATCTAGTAGGTGAAATAGCTGCACCACAGGAGTGATGACAGATTAACCAAATGAGAAATAAGGACCAACTTACAATCTAGTAGTGGGAATAGCTGCACCACAGGAGTAATGACAGATTAACCAAATGAGAAATAAGGACCAACTTACAATCTAGTAGTGGGAATAGCTGCACCACAGGAGTGATGACAGATTAACCAAATGAGAAATAAGGACCAACTTACAATCTAGTAGTGGGAATAGCTGCACCACAGGAGTGATGTCCAATAAAGTGTGACTGTAATAGTGTTGCACTTGAAAATACCATATGTGGTGTGTAGAAACTTGTTGGGCATTTTATATAGTTTGTGTGTATTAACCTTAACAATGTATATTCAATTTAATTGTATACAGTTAAACTATTTATGCTTAAAAAACTGTTTTATCATTTTTTATTAATTTTCAGCAACAAAGTACTTTTGAAATTTCATGACCAGTATAGGATTAGAATAGTTATGCCACCGAGTTGGCAACTAATATTTACCTGAAATAACTTGTTTCAGTAAAATGTGTCAAATGAATCAATCTTTTAAAAAAACATCTTTCAATATAATGAATACATTAATGAAATGAGCTAACATGATTTCATAATTTAAATTTTTCTTAAAGTAACAATCGCTTCAGTAAAAAACATTTTCTAAAGTTTCAGTATCATATCTGCCTATAAGTGACCCCCCCCCACCTACTTTTTTTTAGAAATAAATCCTTGTAAGTCGTGAAATACATATATGGCAAGATACTATGCCTTTGGTATTGAAAATAATTGTATTTTAATATGCAGTGTTATTTATTTACTATTACTTATGATAAGGTTAAATTCTGAAAGTTTTTTATTTTTATGTATACTACCAAGAAGTTTATGCAGGTTTTCATTTAAGTTACAGTATTTCATAGTTACCATATAGCTATATAATAACATTCTCTCTTTACCCCTAAAAATGGGTCCTCTTCATAAAAACACTAGGAGTTCATTGAATTTGATTTAATAGCATTTAAGCTATTAATGCTATGCACTAAAATGGGTTAGTTACATATTATAAATCAATGATTCAAGTAAAACTACCTAAGGCATCTTACCTATTCATGCCAGTCAGATTCTCCATGTTGGAAAGGGAGTTTGTGGTAACACCCATGGCCATGTTAGACACAGGACTCATAGAATTCATAGCATTGAAAGAGGAGTTGGCACTAGACATGTTTCCTGACACACTGCCTGATGTGAAAAAAATTTAAATCTTACATTATTGTAACTGTAAGAATATGTTATACATTCAAAAGTACACTGTCAAATGTGGAAAAGAAATTTATGCATCAAAAAGGTAATAAAAAATTAACAAATTTACAGCTAAAAGGTTTCTGAAATATACATAATGTAAATGGTTAACTTAATTCTGGATACCAATACAATTACACAGCTGAAAAAGCATGTAGAGAAATATAAACTGCTTCTGGAAATTTTAGAATGTAACCAGTTGAAGTTACAAGATATGGAGGTTAATTTGTATCAGGATATTTACAGGAATATGTAGTTAAGAATTACAAGATATGTAGGTTGCATTGCATCAGAATATTTAGCATTACTTAGATGAGAATTACAAGATAAATAGGTTACACTGTATCAGAGTATTTACAGGATTAAGTAGTTGAGAATTACAAGATACATATGTTACACTGTATCTGGATTTTTAAAGAATTAGTAGTTACAAATTACAAGATAAGGACATATTTTACCAGGATATTTACAGAATTAAGTAATTGAAAATTACAAAATGTAGGTTACACTGTATCTGGATTTTTAAAGAATTAGTAGTTACAAATTACAAGATAAGGACATATTTTACCAGGATATTTACAGAATTAAGTAGTTGAAAATTACAAAATGTAGGTTACACTGTATCTGGATTTTTACAGGAGTAAGTGGTTGAACATTCAATATATTAAGACTATTTTGTTTCAGGATACCTACAGGATTAAGTTGATGAACATTATAGGATACATAGGTTACATTATCTCAGAATGTTTACAAAATTAAATAGTTGAACATTTACAAGCTATGAAAGTTACACTTTATTACGTAGACGAGTAAAGCTGAGTGATTAGTGGAACTTGCTAACCATTAGTTGATTACATTCAACTGATTGGTTATTCTCACAAGACTAGTATTCCTTTTTTTTCCAGCTAGTTTTGTTTGATTTTTAGTCATTTGGAACTATCCTTCATTTAATATAGATATTTTCCGACATTTGTTATTTATACATCCAGCAATATTTTTATTGTTGTTGTTGTTGGCAAAGCTTTCTGGTGATTAATATATACATTTTATGTTTGAAAAATGTTTAACATAAGTACTTCATCTAGCAAGCTCTGATATTTCTTTTTTTTTTCTATGAAAATCAGTATTGTTTGTCAAATATTGTGTATTATTGAATATGTTTCAAAAAATAATTTTTTTCCCCAACAATAAAAGATTTATTCAATTAACTGATACCTCATGAAGGACTATGGCCTAAACTAGTCATTTTTAAAAATCTTTTATTTGTGAGGATTTTTCTGGGTAATACAGTTTGTTAAATCAATATGAAAAGTTGTATGAAAATGTCTAAGTACCCTCAGAATAGCACTATGTTGTTTAAATTGTGTGCTTCATGTCATCAGAAAAATAATAAATATAACAAACATTATTGAGATTAGTAGTAGGTATAGATTAACAAAGTTGCATACACTTAATTCTTGGGATTGAGATTACAATTTTAAATGTACCCAAACACATTTATGTGATCAGGCACATGGATACTTTAGATGCGTCTACACTGTACAATGTGATGGTAAACTTAACAGCGTGTGCTGCTTTCACTTGTTAAATGTAGAGGAGAATTAGATTATCATGGGTTGAACACTAGTCATTATTTTGTATGCAAAAATATTTTAATGTGATGTGAGTCAACAATCAAAATACCGTATCCACATTACATGTTTATCATTGTTCATTAAACCAAAAAAAAAACCTTTATGGTAAAACTGTAAAGAAAAATTAGAGTAGGTAAGTAGGATTTTCTTGTATTAAACATTATTGTCCTGCAATATACACTATTATCAAAATAGAGAATGTTTTTTATGCATTCTATCAAATCAAGAATGAAATTACTTTCAGTTTTTTAAATTTCAAAACTGCTCTTTTAGCAAATATGCATTGTTGTTTTCCCTTCTTATAGCATAATTACTTCCAATAAGGCCTATGGGTTATAGGCTAAAGTTTAAATAAGTTTTCAATTAAAATATACTAGAGAAATAATAAATATAGTTGACTCATATGTACCATGACAAATGCTCTTCCTAATAATATTCAACAGTTCTTTACAGAATTATTCTTAATTAATATACACCATATATTACATACATTAATTATGCATTTTTACTACAAACTACCAAAATTCAAATTCATAAAATAATTTTCAAAGGGCTACTAAATGGTGCCTGGGATGGAGGGGTTGTCACCCAAGGAGAGGTTAAGATCTCTGAAATTGTTTTTTCTTGAAAAAAGAAGAGTTAGAGGGGATCTAATTGAGATGTTTAAGATTAAGGGAATTGATAGTGTTGATGCATCATCTTTATTCATACTTGATGGTAAGAATGGTAGGCCTAGGGCTCACAAATATAAATTTTTGCAGGGTAGGTGTCATATTCAGGGTGGTTGGCCTTTGGAACAGGTTGCCTTCAGATGTTGTGGAGGCAGTAGATTTAAGTGAGTTTAAAAGAAAGCTTGGTAACTATATGAATGATAAAGGCTGGCTTTGAAGTTTGTTTTTATTTAATAGTTTTAACTTAGTTTAGAGGATTGGACAGCCTAGATGGACAAATAGGTCCCTTGTTGTCCCTACACATTATGTTATGTAACAATTAGAAATCTACCTTACAACACTTAGAATAAAAGGCTGCTTGTTTTATAGAATCATTCATTCCACACAGATACTAATTACATTAACAACACTATAATGTGGTGTATTTTACAGTATATTACACACTCCCATATACACCAATTGCTTTTGCTAACTTTTTCTCTCATATTAAGTGAGAACCTGACTGATGTGGTGAAGTGATGAACTGTTTCCTGATTGCTAATTGTTCTGAAATGTGTGTAAAAAAAAGCAGAGAACTACTTTTGTTCCAGTGTTCTGCCCAGGGAGCGTATCTGCAATTTTACACAGAAAATTTTAATTTCATGCATCACAATTTTCCAAATGCGTGATTTTCATTCATAGATAAATAGAAATGCTTTTCTACAATTCTCGCTATCAATAAAACACTATTCAGTTGTAAGTTGCAACGTTTAGATCGCCTCGGCTTCAACAGGTAGCTTAATAGTATGTTTGTGTAGCCTGGTACCCTGTCACAAAATATCACTGTGCTAGGTACCTATCATTAGTCGCGGCTATACACGAAAAGTGAATCAGGCTACTAGCAGTTTTGTGTCGTCTCGTGTTATCTTGTTTTAAACATAAAGCATCCAAATGGCGACAGAGGCTAATAAAAAGAAAATCACAGACTTTTTCGGATGAGGTAACGGTGTTTGTCAGCGTCAGCCTACCGATCATGATGATACAGCTGTCACCAGTGTCAATAATAATCATAAAAAAGCAACAATCAAGAAGAAAAATCACAGCAAGTTCAGACAGGAATGGCTATCGGAGACAAGATACAAATTATGGTTAACATACAATTCTACAAGTAAGAAAATGAAATGATCTCTATGTTTAAAACATTCCAAGACGAATTTGTTTACATTTGGGACTTCAAATTTCCAAAAATCCATTCTGGATAGGCATTGACGGATCATTGAAATGGCATTACAAAATCTAAAAATGAAGGTGTTATGAAGTTGCATATTTTAAAAGCAATATCTAAAAAGGAAAATGCTTTGATTTCAGGATTTAAAATTGTCCATTTCATGGTTAAAAAAGACATAGCAATTCATCAATATAAAGATTTTGTTAATTTCCTCACATTTCAAGGTTGTGCTGACATTTCTGAACCACACAGTGGAAACAATCCCATGTATAATTTTTATAAAATTGCTATGGAGATGATAGAAAGTATGGCAGATGTGGTGTTTGAGAACATACAAATAAAAACTGAATCATCATCATTTGTTACATTTCTAACTGATGAAAGCACAGATATAACCATTATGAAAAAACTTGTTTACTGAGGGTAGTTGATTGTAAAACCATGACTTCTGAAACCTTGTTTATATGCAATGTCCACATAGATGATGGTGTGCAGAAACAGTCTTTAATGAGCTCAAAAAGGTCAGGAAAAATTACGAAATTGACAGAGCTAAGTGTATCGGACTAGGTTCCGATGGAGCAGCAGTGATGACAGGTATGAAAAATGGAGTTACAGAGAGAATGTACATTGTTTGGTATACAAATTAGCCTTGTGTACTTCACAGGCTGCAAAGAAAGTGAGTTACCTTCAAAGATATCAAACAACTATGGGTAATTTGTTTCATTATTTCAAAGGAAGCCTTTCTGGTTGTTGTGCTGCAAAACTTAAAAAAAAAATGCAGGAAAGTTTGGATTCTCCAATGATCACTGTCAAGGAAATGCATGGAGTGAGGTGGTTCAGTTTCTGCTCAGCATTGAAAGCTGTTTACAGGACTTGGGATGCTCTGTGTTGAACTTTGGAGCAACAGGTGATTATTTAATTTATGACAAGTGTTTCTTGATTTGCAATAAATAAAAAAAAAATTAAGTTGCAATAGATATGATAATTTATTAGAATTTGTTTGACAATATATAATTTAAATTTTATTCTTACATTTAATTGCAATTTAAACATGTACAATTCTGTTCATAACTGTTTAATTTATATTTTAGAATGATGCAACTGCACGAGGCATCCTCAAAGACTTAAAGTCTGTCCATTTCATTGGCACTAGTTTTATGTTGATGGATATCATTCCAGTGATGACAAAGCTGAACCTTACCTTTTAGAAGCAGATTTTAGATCCCATAATTGCTATGCCAGCCCTGCAAGCAGCAAGGTTAAAACTTTGGAGGCTATCTCAAGAAAATGGTCCAAATCTAACTGAATTTTTCAAGGTATCTTTTACATACAATCTTTTACAAACTATAAAATTAAAAAAAAGCAGAAATAATTTATTAATAAATCAGAAAAGTGTAGGAACAAGTGACATTAACTAATATTGCAGTAAATTTTGATAAATAATGCTAAATGAAATGAATGAATCTTGTGTATTTTCAGACTCTGAGTCCTGAAACAAATGAGTAAAAAGGAGTGAAAATTCACAATGCTATTCGTCTGTTTGAAGCTGTGCAACCTATTAAATGCCAGTTTATTGAAAGCCTGTTAGAAACTCTAAGTAATCAATTTCCAGAGGAGTCAATATCTTTGCTTGAGTCATTGGGTCATCTGGATTTATCAGTGATGAAGACCTTGATAATTGGGGCAATGAACACATTCAGAAACTCATTGATTATTATGGCGTCGATAGGGGTGAACTCAATAAATATATTGACCAAGAGCAAACAAGGATTGAATGGTCCAGTGGATTCTTCTATGTACCCAACTGATAAAATGTCAGAATTATGGGGTATTTTATCACCATGCCAGTGATCTACCAAACCTTTTAAAACTAGCATATATTGCATTTGTTTTTCCTGTACACACTACTGATTGTGAGAGAGGGTTCATTACCATGCCAGTGATCTACCAAACCTTTTAAAACTAGCACAAATTGCTCTTGTTTTTCCTGTACACACTGCTGATTGTGAGAGAGGGTTCAGTGCCCAAAACCATGTTAAAACATCAATGAGAAATAGATTCTTATAATTTACAGAATATTTAACTCTCAAAATACAAGGGGATCACCGGGAAAGAGTTTCCATATGAGGAGGCCATCTTCAAATTTAAGCTTTTTAAGCTTCTTGTTTCAGTATTTTTATGAAATAGATTGAGATTTTGTTGAGGTCATCAATTATTTTATTAGTTGAAGTATGTTGTACCTATATTTTGATATATTTTTCTTTTACCTCACATTTTTATGACAAATAAAATAAACATTTCCTGATCAGTCTACTTGCACCCATTTTAAATCAAATCATACGCTGTGATTTTTAAAGACTGCAATTAAAGTCAGTGATCAATGACAAGTTACAACCAGTTACTGCCATCTGAGTATGTATTTAGATCCTACCTGGTGCAGACAGGCCACTGATACCTGTTGAATTATTTCCTCCTCCAGCTGCTGCTAATGTTGCCAAGTTCTGGAGCATCATAGAATTGGGATCAGCTGAGGACACAGAAAGATGGGGATGTATGGTTATAGAAGTATCATATGATGTGTAATCATTGACAATACACTTTTGTCCAAAGCAGATCTACCAATAAGCTGTTATTATATAATTATAGATATACGATGACTTGTGTTACTTAATGGCATTTGATTAAATTCAAACTGGACTAACCATAGAAGAGTAGTATTGATACCACCATTTCAACATTGAAACAACAGAGTTTGATTCTCCAACTACATTTAGACCCAAAATGTTTGTGTTAAATGTAAATTTTTTACAAGCTTTAATTCAAGAGGTAAAGGACTTTATATATATATCGTTGCTTTTCATGTAGTACACGCTGACTGGTTTAATCAACAGGTAACTCCCAAGAATTACAGTATTCTTTCATTATGACCTTTGTCACGTTATACATTACAGAAAGAATGAAGTTAGCTATATCTAAAGTTAATTATAAACCTATAGATTTCTATGATAAGAAATCATTAACCGATTGTTTCAAATAATTGATACTGAAGCTATATACATTCAACAAAAAAAAGAAAGAAAAAAACCAGGTATGAGTATATTAGCATAAAGGTAATTAGAAAACTTAAAAATGACAATTACCTGAGTTTTATGATCATTTTTAACATTGTAACAGTTGCAAATAAATTAATGACTCACACAGTCACTAAATGTTAAGTTTCCTAACATTGCAATTTTTGCATGATGATTTGATTAACTAATGTAAAAAACAAAACTAAAACAAAAATGTTTCCTAGTGACAGATATTTAACGTGCAACATGTTTGTGATCAGAACTCTTATTCTAAGTACAAATAGATAAACAGTTAATTTCATAAATACCACTTGAAAGTATATGAATATAAAATGTAACCAGAGTCTCATATCTACAATACTTCATCTACTGTGTCAAAACACTGACTTACTACATCATTATTATTTATAATATCACCTTTAGCACTGAATCAATTCCATGGAGATAATCTTTTGTAGTTTAATCTTTATTTTAAATCACTTATTTTCACTTGGAAAACCTACACTGCTTTCTGTTAATTGAAAATTGGGGTCACATGCTAGAAATTAAAAGGTAAGTGTTTAGTGGAGTTTGCTAATTAATTAATTGCATGAAATAATATTAAATATTTAAGTGAAAGGAGAATGATCACCATTCATTAAAGACATTTTTTGAACTCCCCTTTGTTTAATGTAACAGACATATTTAGGTGCAATAATTTAGGACTAAGTTACTTTTTTTAATCCTAAATGTAGTAATAGTAGTAAGAAACCTCTATCAAGCTGAAAATATGATTAATAGTATTCCTTGGGCTTTTCCCTACAAATTTCTACAAGAATATCCTACCAAAATTGAATATATTTTTTGTGGATGAAAATAAATATTATTCTGTGAAATTTTCAAATAACTTTTGATATAAAGCTAATAAACTTTATTACCTTAAAAAAAAAAAACCTCACAAATAAAATGTTTCAAAAATGTTCACAGGCTTACATCAGGTGTCATTTAATTGAATTCATCTTTCAATGTTGGAAAGAAAATTTTTTTTCACACCATTTTCAAGAACACAAGATTCAGTCAAGAATACTGATGTTCATAAAAAAAAAAATATAGAACTGTCAGAGCTTCCTAGATGGAGTAAACAATTTTCAAATCTATAAAAAAATTATTAACTATCAGAAATGCTGGACTGTTAATTTTTTTGATATGTTTGAAAAATGTTCCACAGACTAGATCAATAATTATATGTTCTTTCAAAGAAATTATTTGGCTATTTGCAAGAATTTCAGATGAACAACATTTCCTTATCATAAAATGGGACAGCATGGGTAGGAAGGGCCTATTAAAACCTGCAGATAGTGCAGTATCATATGATATTATTAACCATTTGATCAAACAATTATTTTAAGGCTTAACAAAAACTGTGACTAAATACTCTTTCCTAGTGTGTATGTTAAAACTTTACAGATCAACTACAATAATTTCTTCCATGAATTATATGCAGTTACCATTAGTTTACCGGGTTTCATAGATTAGTTTGTCATTTATTCATCTATTCCTTAATAGTGAGTGACCTACACTTTGGAATAGCTTGAGACTTCTTCCCCAAAATTAGGGTAATCACCACTTTAAAAAACAACTTTCAGCCATTTCTTTTGTGACATGCAACTCTGACTTCTTTTTGAAAAAAGTTCTTTAAAAGAAGAAACTGTTTCATAACTTTCATCATGACCAATAAATTAATTTTAATTTGTACAATTGACTGGAAATTATCAAAGCTCTTAAGGATAGTCAATGAAAGCGGTCTTCCACATGTAAGTATAAAAGACAAAGAAACAATATGCATCTTATTTGCAGCTTTTCTAAACATACAGGCAATAATATTTTGTCCAAACGATGTTTACACAGTTTTTTTCTTTCAGATTTATAGTGTACACATCATCAAACTTGTCTTAATAAGTTATTAGCTGTTTTACCATGATTGTTTACTCTGAAAATCATAACATACATAACAAGATTGGTTCTCATAAGATTTAAAAGCAACTTGAAAGTCCTCCCCCAAACTAATTAAACAATTTTCTACATGGCACACATTTGTTAATAATGTACAAATTGTCACTGCTTACAAATACAACTTTTTTAGTGCTTGATAAGCACAACATATGAATTTAATACCAAGATGAATTTCTGAGCACATAATTATTTTTTTCTAGCTTGTACACTTTACTTATACACATAACAAAATGCAGCTTACAAAAATATTCAGTTCTAATGTAATGCATTAAAAACCTGGTAAAAGCATAACTTCTAGTTTAAAATACGTCAGTTTAATTAACAATTGTAGTCCCTAGATTTTAAGCACCTACAGTTTCTTTCAGGAGAATTTGACTTAAGAGAAAGCTACTCATTTGATTATTATTATGTGATGTCACCAAAGTTACATTAGTATTATGTACACTACCATATTAACATTAACTTCAGATTGAAGCAAGCTACCTACTTAGAGTGAAACTAAAAATCTATATGTTAGAGATAAAAATTTGATCTGCAACTGTAACTTGAAGATCTGGCAAGGTCAATTACTCTTGTTTAACTTATCTTTAAAGTATCCTTCTAAACACATTACACCATATCCTCACTCATTTCAACCTCATACACACAGACTGTTAGTATTCAACATAATAGAACATCCTCAAAAACAATCTCTTTTTATAAGATAGTACATTATGCCAACTGTTAAAAGTGTTATATACATGCATAGATGATAATTTGACATTCATTTAAAATTTTAGAACTAAAATAAATAAATAAAAAAATCTCTGTCACACTTAAGCTAATTTCATTTTGCCAAATATTAGATATTTCATTGCTCTTTCCACTTCTTATCTTATTGTCTACAATGCAATTTTATTACACTGTTCAAGCCTTACATCTATAAGAACTTTTACAAATTATTACTTTTAGAATATCTTGGTCAATCACCACCTGCTAAGTTCTACTACTCTGATTTTCTCATTGAACTTACATCTATCTCACCTTACATAGTTATATTTTATCTGGCACTGTACATCCCACTGGTCTGGGAAGACAAGATGGCAGGGGTGAAAAAGATACCTCTTTAATTTGAATTTCAGTTTCTATAATGGTAATTTCAAATATAAAAACCCCACCTGTACTATGACTTGTTAAGAAAAGAAACCAGCAGTGGTAATTTCTATTAAGACTTCTAAAATGTTGAACAAGAAGTGTTGACAGTTTTGTTCACCTCCCATGGTAGAAACTGCCCAAAAGACAAATCAAACTGATTTACAACAATACCCATCACACTGAACTATCCAAAAGGAAAGTGCAATAGGTTCAGAAGTGTCAACCACAAGCAATGAGCAGTGAACTGTTATCATAATCATAAAAGCCAAGTGTCAGTCGGTCATGCATGATTTCTCCAAATTCTGTACGTTACACGAATCCAGTTCCATTTTTCCTCCTATAATACTTCTTCTTTTGATTGTCTGTTCCAATTTTAGTTGAATTCAATTGCTAACATAGGCATAAATAGCTCCTAAATTTAGGCACTTTTTCTCCTACATGAAAGCCTGTCATGGAGGGAGTTTTTATACCACAGAGTTATTGAACACCGAGTAAAATTAGTTTGCTGTTTGTTACGAAGAGAAGTTTTTGAATGATGATTGAGTATGTACAAGAAATGTGGTTTTAAGAGAACTATTGCAATAATGCAACTGATGTTATAAAAAAAATTAATGTGATCAATGAATGCTGGGACAAGGATCGATGCTGGGAAGAGACACTCTTTAGGTAAAGGAGATATTTCTCATGATAGACTTTGGTTTCACAAAGCTAGAAAGTTCTTTATTATTCTTATGTCTGTTTATGGACAGCAAAGTTGCAAATGAATACTGGAGGATTCAAATTTGGTAGGCTTTGGTTTCCAGTCATTCTTGATGGGCTTTTATACTAGTTAGTGATTTAAATGATTACCGACAAGCATCAATGAATTAGTGTTATGTTAATTATCAACTTGTGATTCTAATTATAACTGCTTTGATTAACTCAAATTTCATTCATCTTAATTGAATAGCATCATGATACACAAAAATAATCAACTAAATAATATTAGGGTTTGTGATTTTTACTATTTTTGGTTAATCAACTACCCAAATAATTAAAATATAGTCATTAACATAACTGACTAATCATCCAGCTATATAGAAGGTTAATGCAAGGACTCAGGTTCTTAACATGAGAGAAAGTTAAAAATGAAAATGCTTCTGCTGTTCACCATAAAGAAAGAAGCCTTAGGAACTTATGAAAATGTTTATTTCTTGGATCACTATCTACTGAACATTAATAAATAGTACAAAATCAAAAACATAAAAAAAAAATAGTGAAAACGTATGACACGTAAAAAAGGCCAGTAGATTTAGACAAAAGGAAAACTGAAGTACCTTTTAATCTTCTAATAGGGATGTGCTGATATGAAAACTGATAATGCACAAGACACTGTTTACAAGTCAGAGGAAAACTGGCCAAAATGACCTCTGAATATCACATGTCAGAAATTACAAAAAATAAACCATCTGTAATAAAAGGCTTGACTGTAAATGGAATTTGAGTACATGCTGGACCAATAACTTACAATTTTACCATTGAATATACGTTAAGAAAGTGCACTGAAAGAACAGGTGATCAATTAATTGAAAGTATAGAGCACATTTTGTTGGTTCAACATACAGTTGTCATAATCAGTGAATGAAAACTACTACATGTCTAAACTAAAGTGTGTCAAAACAACTCAAACAGATATAGAAAAAGGGCTAACTTAAGCACCCTTTAGTCTGTTATGTGCTAATATTAATATTAGTCAAGAACACATTAATGATTAATTGGTATGGGGTGAATGTTTCTTTTTTAATTTTTCCCATTATTACTTAGTCGCTTTATCGATGATGTTATCAACCATGTTAGGTGATAAATTGGAACCTTAACATAATTTGTTTTGTGCATGTCAGACCCAGCACACACACATACACACACAAATATTTTCTTAAGTTACTAGTCTGTATTATATCCGATTATATTTATTCTAAAATTTATTTTTTGCACAAAAACATGCTGGAGTCCTTCATGTATGAATAAAAATTTGATGTGGGCATATATTGTTGAAAATCTTTGGTAATTTTTTGAAATACAGAAGGAAATGTCAGTGCCTTAGTGAAAGGTAATACAATGAATAGTAGAACAAAGATCTAAGACTCCACTCAATTGCTCTCAGTAAGGTTATTGTAACTCCATCTAATTGTAGATTTAACAGTACAATGATCTGACAGGAAACCTAAGCCTAAGAACTGTGAGAAAAAATAAAGACAATGTTCGGTCTGTTCTGCAATAGCATATAAATAAGTTTTCTTCAATGGTAATAATTCCTTTGAAGCAATATGCCTTCCATTTCTTACCCTTTGTACATTTGCATAAACCATTCCAAAAGTCAATACTTTTGATTGTTAACCATGCTGCTTAAATGCTGGTCAGGTGGATTCATTGACCCAAATATTCAATCAGTATTACTAAATAGTACATTGCTGCTTAATGTTCAATTTCATTAAAACATAAGTTGTAAGTATGCTGTTTGAAATAATGCAATATTGTACATCTGTACAAATGTTTCTATGAAATAATAAAGCTTGTAATTATAACTTTTTTTAATATTCGTAGGGTAAATTAGAAGTGAAACACTACTTTAAATTATAACTTCAAAAAAGTGACATACTTAAACCAAATGATACAGCATATGATTTTTTTTCAAAGCTCATAACACCACTGACTACAACTGCTGTGTCACATTTAATGACACGTGCACGACTGGGAGGTCAAAGTACATATGCCAACATTTTACACAGTGCCATTCAGCATGTTGTTAGGTATTTGATGTCAGAGTTATCAGCTATTCATTTTACCCTACATTGCTGAATTAGTGACAGTTCATGGAAGAGTAAATATTAGGTATAATATAAAGGGATACTGTAAATATGAAAACTGTATGATGGACAAAAGTATTTTTATTCTTCACATGAACATCAACTTGTACTCCGACACGTCAGAGTCCAATTGGATTGACATCATCAATTCATACATATCTTGAGTACAAATACTGTTGAAACTCATATGATTTTTTTTTTTTATACAAGACTTATACATTTTATTAAACGCTTACCACATTTTGTGTACACAAACTTAGTAAATTTGAAATTATAGTGAATATTTTTCTGTAATACTGGGTAAGCCCAATGGATTCACTCCATGCACATTTACTTAAAGGACATAACTGAAAAGAACACAGTATCTAAACAACACCTAATAGTGTAAGAATAAAAAAAAAGAATGACTGTACAAGTTTTGGTTCCTTACGACTTACTGATTGAATATATTTTACACTTTTTTTAAATGTATGTTTGTCTACATATGTACTCTTTTCACCAAAACTATAATATAAAGTTATATAAAACACTTTTTGGTTCTACATGTAATTTGTAGTATGTTAATACTTAACTCATGGTATTTCTAAATATATCGTTAATAAAACATTTGCCTATTTGTGTTTAAACTTTAAAAAGTTTTTTATTTCTTGTTTCCTTTCTTTTGTTAAACAATTAATATTAATGAATGGTAGTCGCTATGAAAGCCGCAGTTTTAGCTTGACGTGATGAGTTGTCTTGCAACATTTTGGTGTGTAGACATAACTTCAAGCATTGGTGAACCAGCTTTTCTGATGCCAGAATCAGAATAATCAGCAGAACATTTAGTTGTTACGCTACTCGTCAGTTCTGTACTTTAGCGATGTTTTTTTGGCTAAACTGAAGGTCTTAACAGCTTTTGAAAATCTCAAAAAGCTATGTTAAGTGTTTATAAGCCTCTTAGATTGTTATAAGAGAGATTTTAGACTATGATGAGCAATACATAATATACAGCAGCCATTTTTTTCCCGACCCATCCTTATATATACTAAGCACTACCATATTTTGTGAAATTAGAAGTTTTAGACTAGTAACAGATGGGGAACACGCCATAGGGGAAATTGCTGCAGATTCAGGATATACTGGGGTTCAAAGGTTAAAAAAAATTATGCAAGATTTATATATTAAGGTTAAAAATAATATTTGACAATTATAAAAAAATAGTAACTCATTTGAGTTATATCTCCACCACATACAGTATATATTAGGATGCTTTCAACCCCTCCTGTGGAGTTATCTTCAGGATAACTGATGTGGAAGTTAAATAAAAGAATGAAGTGAATGCAATTGAACAATGTGTAAACAGAAATAATAATATATCATTTGTCATTACAATAGTGAGATCCATGATACAGTAATATACAGAATAATGACAACTGAGAAATACCAATTATAATTTTTAACAGTATTGCATACTTATAAAAGCAAATTAATATAAAAGAGAGAAGTTGAAAGCTTACTTAGTAAATAATAAAAACAGAAACCTGACTGAATTATGATTTTTATCCTTAACTGTTATTAACTTGAAACAGAAGATTTGAAAATGGTGTAATAGGACTTAAGAATAGACCTGATGGTGTTACAAAATCAGAAGATAACAGGGTTTAACCTCCAACCCTCTTTGCTCTTTGTTTTTCTTTTTATATGTGTTTGAAGCAAAAAGGCAAGACTACTATCTCAGCCTGTGTGTGTGTTTTCTTAAAGCAAAGCTACATTGGGCTATCTGCTGTGTCAACTGAGGGAAACCGAACCCCTAATTTTAGCAATGTAAATTCAAAGACTTATCGCTGTCCCAATGGAGGACCTGAGCCTGTGAATGTACCTGTACTTGATTTTTCATTAGCATATCAAGAAATTATTTTGTGTGTATGTAATCACAGGAGGTAGATTAGTGAAAAGAAGGGGGGGGGGAAATACAGGAAAATGTAGAAATACTGGCTATAAATACATAATAAATGTGACAAACTCACATATCTTGCATTTATAAATTTTTCTTGATAAATATGAAAATAAACAGTCTTGGCTATGATATTAAGATGTATGAATCATACTTGTACAAAACTTTTGATTACATGTAGCTGCATTACTAAAGCTTCAGCAGTTTGAACATACCAGTATTACTATTGTTGGTTGAGGTCTGAGCAGCAGCAAGAAGAGCCAACTGTTGCTGTACATTCAAGGAACCAAAACCTGGAAAAAAAGAATATAGCTCATAATTCATTAACTCACCATACACAATAAAAAACCTAATTGAATATTTATACTGATCTTCTTGATTATCAAATGTTTGTAAACAGAAAAAAATAAAATAAAGATACCCTACTAGAACTTCAAATGCTATTGGAGCAAGTAAAGAAAAAACTTTCAAAAAAGAAGGTAAATGTAGGGATGGCATTTGTACCATCCCTCCATAATAACATAGGCATATAGTGTAGTAAAATGTTAACAAACAAAAATAGGATAAATTAAACTCAATTGTGTTTGGTTTTATATATATTGCTGTATGCTAATTCTTGCTTGTGCTCTTATGTAGGAGTGATGCAAATACCATTCCTACTATCTTCTTTGCATTGTTTTCAAAGGGATGATATTAGCTATCCCTACATTTACTTCCTTTTTTGAAAAGTTTTTCCTTACTTGTTTTTTTTATAATGCAGTGTTTCAATAGACATAGGAAGGTTGTATTTATGACCAAGTTCTAAATATAATGACATTCTGACTGTAATATTTATTGTTTCACCCTGTACTTAAGCTTTTTAAAGGAACACCAAATTTCTGTAAGAAAGCTAATTTCAAGGGGTAACGATAAAATCATTTACACTAGAATTATTTAAAAAAATTATTACAAGTTAATAATACTTATAAAGTGGATACTCCATTTGGAACTGTCGCCTAAATGAAAATTGTTTGACAACAACGTATTGGTTTTTGAGTTATCATGTAATAAAAAAGAAGAAAGAAGAACAACAAAGTTAAACTTTTTGCTACAATATTTACAGACATGCCCAAAACTTGCAACTCAGTCATTACATAGATATTCTTATAAAAGAAAACACTGTACAGTATTGTAAAGTTCTGATGACCTATTGA